ATGACACTTTACATATTCTCAGGTATCTCATCCTTCCTTTATAATACCATGGACTAGCTATGTAGGTTAGTACAATCATATGTAAGGTGCTACTGTTTTCTGCACGGAGTTCTGTGGCTTCTTAGCATACTGCCATTAATTTGTATTACGTGCCTTCCACAACCCCTCAGCATTGCATTATATTTTACCTTATATACATTGTAAGTTTAAAGTGTTTCATACTCTTACTAAGCACAGCCATAATTAATAATATGAAACTGTAAAAATTATTTGTTTTGAAATAATATATTACATTACTTAATTATGCACCTTTGGGCAATTTATGAAGTATCATTCCAAAATCCAGTGGTTAGATTTGACTTTTACAATGTTACGATGCATATAACTTACAATGTAGGTAACAAAGTTATAAAATAAACTACTGTAGTCCACATGTGGTACAGATAATAGTCCAATTTTTTTTTTAACAAAATGTATCTTAAGAATTAATATGAAGTGAAAAAAAGATATGAAGAATTAATATGAAGTGAGAAACTTCTGTATGGTATATATTTTAAAAATCAAGGCTAATTTATCACAGGAACACGATAAATACTATTCCTACCTAGCTTAAAACCCACTAATCCAATTTCAAAATAAATTGTTCTCAGGCTGAGAACTTGTAGAGCAAATTACAGCAGGGGGTGAATTTTCACAGCCAAAAAATATAGACCTGAAAACAGAGATCCAAGAGTGCAAAGTTGATGGACCCTTAAACTATAGCGGTCTGGAATGTGAGACTATAATCATAATAGGAAATACATGTGCAGAGTTCGTTGCAGGCTACAATAACACTACTAGCATATGAGGCTTCTATTATAGAATATTTTAAAGCAGGGGTCAGCAACCTAAAGCCAATGGGCTGGATCTGGCTCACAAAGCCACTGGATACAGCCCACAGACATAGGGCTTCAGTAGCACTCACTGGTGGGGGGTTTCAGATGCAGTGCTTACATTGTTCTGTTGCAGGGAAAAGCATCAGATGCAGAAAGATCCTAGCACCCACTCTAACCCAACCCACGGCCAGAAGACTTTTTAAATGTCCTGGATTTTGTTTGTTTGTTCCCAAATGGTGTAAGGGTTCAGGCCACTGACGTTTACAGGGCCTTTTCACCAAGATAAAATTAACTAGCAAATTAACTGTCACAGGCAATAGTGAAACTACAGAACTGTGAAATGCACAAAAAAGAAAACAAGAAAAAAGTTTCTTTCATTGCCAACAGTCTTAAAGATAAATAAATAGCCTAGTCCAGGGCTCTCATAGAGCCTACGAGCTGAATCCAGCCAGTGGAGCTGTATCATCCAGCGTGTAGTGCTGCCCGCCACATGCAACACATTCTGCATTCCCCAGCCCCACATGTTCCATCTGGCATGAGGAACCTATCTGGTTCAGGCTGCACACAGTGCAGGGCTGGTCTGGATTGCATGCTGCACACAGCACTTATGCCAGACGAGCCCTGTACAATGGATCCAGAGCCAATCCAGACTGGACTCACAGAAAGGCTGCCTGTGCTGGATCCAGCACGCAGGACCAGTATAGCACAGGGGCACAGGGCATGTGCCCCAGCCCAGCCCTGTGTTCTTCCTGCCGCACCAAACTAAAATCAGTGCTTGTTGCATGTAACATTGGGGGGGGAGGGGAGTCTGACACGCACACTGCATGTGGCACTCACACCAGACCAGCCCTGTGCACTGGATCCAGGGCTGGCCTGGATCAGGCCCACAGACCAGTCCCATGTGCCAGACCCTGTGTGTAGGGCCGGTCTGACAAGGGTGCCACATGCCCCACACTGGCTCCCTGCACTGTGTAGAGCATGCCCTGGAGCACTCCCAGTCCCATACACTGCATGCTGCATAGTGCCACACAGGGCTGGAACCAGCACTGACTGCAAGCAAGACATGCAGCTGGTCCTGGGTGCATGCTGCATGCAGTGCTCTTGCCAGAGCAGCCCTATGGGCTGGATTTGGTATGTGTGGCCAGTCTGCATGCTCCATTCAGACTGCAGACCAGCCCCACACCCCTCATCCAGCCCACGTGGCTGGATGAGTTTTACACCCCTGGCCTAGTAGATACAGAATCTTCAGACAGAAAATTTAGTTCCCCTTTAACAACAAAGCTCTAAGAAAGTGTGGAGTGAAGACTACACACAAGGAACAAAGTGAAAGGTAGAAAAGGCAGGTACAGAACAAAGTTTAAGATACAGAGATGAGGGAGGGTAGGGGATAAAGGGAATGAGAGGAAAAGCCTAGAGACAAGAGGAGGAAAAGGAGGAAGGAGGAGGTTGAAGCAAGTAGAAAAAAGAACAAGGCTAAATGAGAAGCAAAAGAAGAATAATATGGTAGAGTAATTGTAGGAAAGAACTGACGACTAATTAAATTTATTATTCTGTCTCAAAATATATTTCAATAATCAGAAGAGCAACAAATATATTTGATGTGTTTGCAGTTACAAAAAAAAATTAAATACAAAATTTTAAAATTCAAACTGCCAGGAATTATTTGCAGCTGCATCAATCCTGGAAAAAAGAAAAAGAACAAGGTAAAATGTGATATATTTTATTGAATCAAAAAGCTATATGACAAAAGAAGGATTGCAGAAATTGTAAATTTTTCAAGGCAGGAACATTTATTTGCAACATGTTTGTACAGTGAAGCCTTCCCCTGAGGGCTCTATGCTCTGCTCTAATATAATATTTTCTTTCTAGATTAATATTATTTATCAACCTTCTTCAGGCCTGGGAAAGAAACAGATACAGCCTAAACTAAATACCAGGTAAAAACAATAGCTTTTGTCTAACTCCATTATGTAAATGAAGATCATTTAAAGAAAGGCAAGAGATCAATAAACTTGTGGAGCAGAGAAGTTATCAGAAGCCACTGCAGGCCAGGTAAAGGACAGGTGAAACAAATAAACCAAATTATGTAAAATAATATTAAAAGGGGGAAAACAATCATTATTGCAACCTGCCAAAACTAGGTGAGTATCATGAACAGGACCCAGAGGCATAGCAGGGCAGTACCAAGGCACAGGGCAGCACGCACCCACCCCACCATAGTGATTGCAGCTATGTGATCAGCCAGTGGCCACTTTTGCACACCCCCTACCCATGCACAAACATACCCACGCACATAAAAGTGGCACCAAAAGCTGCCAAGTTGAAATGAACAGGTGAATTTAACCCATCTCATTTAAAATCTAATTGCCTTATAAGTGGTCATAGGGATGCCTTTGACACAAAAGCTGTATTATACTGCATTTGTATATGCAGGTCAAAAGGAATGTATTTCTTCTCCAAAATTAAACTGACATGTTCCCTTCACCTGCATTATTGCATTTCTTATTTTTCCCCCAGTAACACAAGTTGCAAAATGCAGGCTTGCTCCAATTTGGCTTTTTTGGCTGGCTTTGCAAGTAGTTTTACCACTATTTTGCCATATTTAGCTGGATTTCATATACAAACTGATAAAGAGCACCTTGCATACTGTAGATGCTCTGGATGTAATTTAAAGATACATCATTCTAGCATTTACATAACTGATTTCTTTTTTTTTTCAGTTGAACATATGGGAACAAACCCTGCCCTAGGCTGCCTTGGCAAGTAATCCACATAGGCACCGGGCTGGCCTGGTCGGCTGATCTGTGATGGGCACAAAACAGGCGCTTGCCCAATTCCTCCAAACTTTCCGGCCTCGCTTGAAGATGAAAGAGTTTAAGCACCGAACTCACACCTGATTTTGAAGTTCAGTTGTGGACACGGGTTTTCGTACAGTTGGGTCAATTGTCTTGTGGTCTGCCCTGAAAAACAATATTG